CGCCGCCGGTCGCCCCTGCCGGCCGCCGCAGAGCCTCCTGCCCTCGGCATCGCTCGGACGTGTGCGTTTTGTTCCTCGGCGAAGACCCTCGAGGAGCATCCTTGATCATCTGGCGAAAAGCCACGCATGAAACCGAACAAAAAACACAGAGAGTGGACGTCCGAGCGATGGCCGGTGCCTCTCTCCGCTGCTGGCCGCCTTCTCTCTTCCTCAGGCCCGGCCCTCCGCAGCCCCACCGCAGCGCTTGCCTCTGGCGTGCTCCCTGCTCCGGCGCCTCCCTCTTGCCCAGCGCCTTCTCTCTAGGGGATCGAAGAATGACATTATCCCAGTGCGACCCTACCTAGGAGTTGGAGCCCCTAGGAAAGCAGCATTAGTAGTAACAGTAAAGCTAAGCTAAAGCTAAACTAAAGCTAAGCTAAAGCTAAACATAAAAACTCGGAGGTCCGCGCGGATTTCTCAGATCGGCGCTGGGGCCCCCCCGGCGGCGCCTCCGGCGCCGCCCCTGGCGCGCTCCGCGCGCCAGGGCAGGGGGGCCCCAGCGCCGACCCGAGAAGCCCGCGCGGACCTCCGAGTTGCCATGTTGATGCCGCTTCTTGCTCCCCTACTCTTGCCCAGTGCCTGCTCCGCCCGCCCCCCCTCCCCCGCGCCTGCTGCCCGCCGCGCGCCTGCTGCCCGGCGCGCTCCCTTCGTGCCCGCGCCCTGGTCCCGCTGCCGCTCGCGACCTGCCCCCGCTCCGGCCGCCGCCGCTACCAGCTCCCGCCGCCACCGCTGCCCCGTGAGGGGCCAGCCGCGTGCTTCCCAAGGGCGCCCTCGAGGGCGCGAAGTTCTTCGCGCTTCGCGGTCCTCGTTCCTTCTCCCCCTCCTCCTCGTCCTCCTTTTCTCCCTTTGAGGGGGCGGCGCGAGAGCGCGAAGTTATTCGCGCTTCGCGCAGCGCGAGGCGCGAAGTTGGGAGCCCTTGCCTTCCTTCCGGCGCGCGTGCGTCGGCGACTTCTTTGGACAGCGTGGCGTTGCGCCCGCCCGCGGACGACTGAATATGTGTGTATATATATATATATGTATACATACAACACTGCATTGGCGCTTCGCGCCATGAACCTTGCTTCTTAAAGCTCGGCATGCAGGAGAACCAAATATAGCGATGATTCATTGTTGCCGTTTGCGCCATCGTCGTTATAGTAATGTTATGTACTATCCTTATACTTCCTCTCCTCTTACTCGTAATCTTCCTTGTCTGCGAGCCACTCCTTGTCCTCATCCCCAGTTTTTATTGCAGGGGCTCCTCTTTGGAGGTATTCTTGGGCCCCTCTCAAAAGCTTTTTGGGGACCTCTGGGGGCCTCCTGGGTGCCTTTTGGGGGCCTCTGGGGGCTTCTTGCGGCCACCTTGCTACCAACCACGGTCTCCCTGAACGACCGGGTCACGATTTGGAGTGCTTCGGGAGGCGTCTTGGGGCCATCTGGGGCTGTCAGAGGGACTCTCTTGGGGCCATCTTGCGGCCCTGTTGGACCACATTGGGGCTCTTTTGGACTGTCTGGAAGCCCCTTTGACACCGTTGTGGGAGGCTTTTTGGGGCCTCTTCGGCGGACTCGGACGCACGGAATACCGAAGAACCGAATGTCGAACAAATCAATAAAACACGAAAGGAAAGTGTGTTTTTGCCCGGAAAGGGCTCGAGCCCAGGGTTCTCTTTTAGCTGTTCACCCCCGGATTCGACGGCTGTAGGGCCGGCGAAATTATTCTGCGATAAATTACATGCGGGAGCAGGGCCGGCGGAAATATGTTTGAGGATGTCTCGAGCGAAACGCTTGTTTTTCAGGATTTGTTGAGGATGTCTCGAGCGAAACGCTGGTTTTGCAGAGTTGGGGATGTCTCGAGCGAAACGCTTGGTTTCAGAATTTGTTGAGGATGTCTCGAGCGAAACGCTGGTTTTGCAGAGCCGACCGCGACACGGAAAAGCCCTCCTCGCGCAGGAATTCCGAGGATGTCTCGCGCGTGCCGCGTCCCGCGCGCAGGAATTTTGATTCCTTGGGGTTTTGACAGGATTTCTCGAGCGAAACGCTTGTTTTTCATAATTTGTTGAGGATGTCTCGAGCGAAACGCTGGTTTTGCAAAATTGGGGGATGTCTCGAGCGGGGGCCTCGTGGGGGGCCAGAATTCAGAGGATGTCTCAGGCGAAATGCTTGTTTTCGTGTCCCGCTCGCAGGAATTCCGAGGATGTCTCGCGCGTGCCGCGTCCCGCGCGTAGGAATTCGGATGATTTTGATAGGATGTCTCGAGCGAAACGCTTGTCCCCAGCACGTTCAGTAGCGCGTCCCCTTGGCACGTCCCGCGGTGCGACCCCATGGCACGTCCCCTGGCACGTCGCCTGGCGCATCCCTTGGGACGTTTCGCGGCGCGTCCTCCTGGCATGTTCCCCTTGTCAATTAGCTCTGGGGCAGCTACTATGTGTTCAGGCAGCTCGAGCTTAAGATCCAGATCAGTTCGGTCAGGACTCGGATGCAAAGGAGGACTCGATCCACGACGCTATAGAGCACAACCGCGGCATGGCACATCGCAATTCAGCACGGTGCAGCACAGCACAGCCCTCGGCACGGTACATCAAGATCGATACACTCAGCATTGCAACCTGGCACGTTCCTTGGCACGTTCCGTGGGGCGTCCCTTGGCGAGTCCCCCTGGCACGTCGCGTGGCGCGTCCCCTGGCACATTCCGTGGCACATCCATTGGCACGTTCCGTAGCGCGTCCCTTTGGCACGTCCTACGGTGCGACCCCATGGCGCGTCCCCTGGCACGTCGCCTGGCGCATCCCTTGGGACGTTTCGCGGCGCGTCCTCCTGGCATGTTCCCCTGTCCATTAGCTCTGGGGCAGCTACTATGTGTTCAGGCAGCTCGAGCTTAAGATCCAGATCAGTTCGGTCAGGACTCGGATGCAAAGGAGGACTCGATCCACGACGCTATAGAGCACAATCGCGCCATGGCACATCGCAATTCAGCACGGCGCAGCACAGCACAGCCCTCGGCAGGGTACATCAAGATCGATACACTCAGCATTGCATTTGCCCGTCACCCAATCAGGTGTCTTTGAAAACGCTGCCATGTGTTACAGTTCTATATTCCTTTCCGGGTTCGTGGGTCGATCATGTTTTGCACTTGGAGGACCTCTTGGGGGTCTTCTTTGGGTCGTCTTCGGGCGTCTTGGGGCTGTCTGGGGCCGCGTGGGGCTCTCGCGGGGCCGTTTGGCCGCCCTCCTGACCGCTTTGGGCCCGCTGGCAAGGCCCAGCAGGGGCGTCCAGGATGCCCGAAGGCCCGGGGGACCCCTTGCAAGGCGTCCAGGGGGCCCCAAAAGCGCCAGATCCCGGGGGTCCGATTTTCCGGGGGGGGGGTCCCACCCCCTGGATTGTAAAAATATAGAAAAAGGTGTGTGTGCATATATATATATATATATATGTATGTATGTTTGTGTGCGCGTTTGTATGTGCAGGTGGAGGCCGCGAGAGAGTGAACGAAAAGACCATCATGAGACAGAAGAGAGAGAACAAGAAGAGGGAGGGAGGGCGGGCGGGAGGGAGGGCGGGAGAGAGAGATAGAGAGAGAGAGAGAGAGAGAGCGAAGGGGAGGGGGAGTCAGACGAGCAGGGAGAGAGAGGGAACGCAGGAGCAGCAGGAGAGAGAAGCCTTGCCGCCCGCGGCCCCACAGGTGGTCGACGGCATGGACATCATCCGCGCGGTGAGCCAGGTGCCGGTGGACAGGGACCCGGCGGGCTGCGAACCTGCGGGCGCACGGGCCCCCTCTCGGGCCAGGGGGGCTCACACCGCGCCTCGCCTCCGCCCTCCTTCCCCCCTCTCCCTCCCCTCCCTCCCTCCCCCTCCCTCCCTCCCTCCCCCCTCCCTCCCTCCCCCCCTCCTCCCTCCCTCCCCCTGCCTCCTCCTCAGAGGCTCTCTCTCCCCTCTCGCTCCCACGCTCGCCCACTCTCCGGTCCCCCCCGGGTCCTTTTCTCCCTGGCTCTCCCTCCCCTCCGACCTCCCGGATCTTGCCCGTCGCCCTCCCCTGTCCCCCGTTCATCCCCCCTCTGCCCTTCTCCCCTACCCCCACCCTGCCCTCTCCTCCCTTTTTCAAGGGAGGAAAACCACCCAGACCCCACAACTGGCGTTCACGAAACGGCCCTGGGCGTTCTTACTGAACAGCTCTGCCCTGTTCGGTTCCTTCTGCTGGGCGCGTTTACTAAACAGCTTCGCGTGTCGAGGTGATTATTGAATCGCTTCGCTCATTCCGCCGGCCCTGGAGCGCTCTTTGGGGCCTCTTGGGGGCTTCTTGGGGCTCCTTGGCGGCATCTTGGGGGCCCCTGGGGCATCTTGGGGTGCTCTTGGGGGCCTCTTGTGGCGGGAGGGGGAGGCAGTCGATTGCGGCTCCTCCCTCGAAGGCCACGATCCTCGTGAGGGGTGTGGAAAAATGGCCCTCCCCTGGGGCGTTCTGGGGGGATCGCCCGGGAGTGGGCCGGGAGTGGCCCGGGACCTAGCCAGGGTATTTTCGTCCGGGGGCCCCCAGGGGCCGCCCCGCTCGCGCGAACTAGAAATATCGTTAACCAGTTACTAGAGATCTTGACACGCCTCTGGCCCGTTGGGCCGGCGAATTATGAGGGTGGCTGTTCTGCTCTCTACTCTTCCCCCCAGTCGTCAGCCATTGAATCGGGCCTGTCCCTCTACAGGGGGAATCTACAAAACTAGTCAAACAACAATATGGGGACTATTTTTTGACTATTTTTCAGCATTCTTGGGGTGTTTTTTCGAGTATTTCCATTCCTCGCTCAAAGTTCCCCTGCAGCGGGACAGGCCCGACTGAAAGCCAGCAGCACAGTGGCACTGACGCGTGCCCCCCCGGCGCTCTCCAGAGCCTCCTGGAACGCGGCCCTGGCGCGGCGAGCCCCGGCCTTTCCGCGTTTCCGCGCCGAGGACGAGAAGCCCCGCGTGCCCGTCACTATCGTCGGCTGCGGGCAGGTAGACAGGAGCCCCCCTCGCAGCTCACCACCCACCAAACCACCCCAACCCAACCCGAAGGCCTCAATTTGCCCTCCATTTCCAGTTGGGGGGGTTGGGGAACACTGACAAAAACACATATGGAGCCCGTACCCCCCCCAACCGAAATTCGGGTCTTCGGGTTGGGTTGGGGTGGTCTGGTAGGTAGTTAGCAGCCGCCGCGCACGGGCCGAGGGGGCGAGGGAGGGAGGCAGGGGGGCCCTCGAGGCAGAGAGGGGGATGGGAGGTGGGCAGACCTCCTATGCCCTGACGCGTCGATTCGCGAATAGGCCGTTTTCGGTTCGCGGGAGGGCGTCGCGGCCGTCATTTCTGCGGGCCCAGGTCCGCCCGTTTCGGTCCCAGGCCGTTTTCACGAAAGGGAGGTTTACAAAAGGGAGGTTTGTCCACCGCCGAGGGAGGCAGGGGGCAACCGAAGGAGAGAGAGAGAGAGGGAGTGAGGGAGGGAAGGGCGGAGGCACGGAGGGAAGGGGAGGGGAGGGGAGAAGGGAGAAGGGAGGGGGGAGGAGGGAAGGCGGGGAGAAACTGGGCGCCAGGCGCTCCTTCCGGCCGCCTGCCTACGTTGCAAACCTGGTGTTGACCCGCTGACCTTATTCCGCCTGTTTCCTTCCCTCCCTCCCTCTTCGAATGAATCTCCGCAGCTTGAATGATGGCCAGCTCCGCCAGCTGTCCACATCATCGCCTGTCGGTCCAGAGCTCGCTTGACGGGACTGCCGTCAAAACCCGGGAATTCATCGATTCACCACCTTGCCCGAGGAGCCAAGTGGAGTGGCCTCAGGTCCTGTTGAGTTCTCTCTCTGATTCTCTTTGTGATGAGTCTTGCACGTGCTTTCGTAAAGGGACCTGGAACCCAGATTTCCGGGGTTCCGTGGCGCTCTTGTGCTCTTGGGCGATTGCGGGGATCCCCGCGTGATGTTTGTCAAAGGTCTCGGGAGCGTGGTTCGGAATCCAAATCTCTCCATGCACTAAGATGGTCCCAGGGCCCATCTTGGAGCCCCCCCCCTGGGCGCCTTATGGACCGTCTTCGAGGCCGTGGGGACCGGCCCAAGAGGCCAAGGTTATCAGCGGTTTTTGAATACATCTCGTGCACTCGCCTTTTCGGTCTTGAGAGCGTCCAAGGCTGCCCGAGAGACCTCCGAGAGATCACCCGAAGAGCCCCCGGGGGAGGGCCCCCCCCCAGCGGCCCCCACGAGCCAAGGGCCCCGTCACGGGACGGCCCGAGGAGGGGGAGCCCGAGCCGACGCTTCGAGCTCCTCGAGAGAGAGAGGCTTCCTCGGAGGAGATTCCGCGGTTTTCCTCGGTTTGGGTTTTTCCTCGGTTGGGGTTTTTCCTCGCTTTGGGTTTTTCCTCGCTTTGGGTTTTTCCTCGGCTAGGGGGGGGCGTCTCCCCTCGGAGGCCTCCCGAGGACCCCCAGAGGCCCTCGAGAGGCCGAGGGTGCCCCCAGGACTCGGGAAGCGGCAGGAGGACGCACGCGTGCACGACTCCACGCCGGGATTTTCGAGAGCACGCGCTGCGCACAGGTTCGCACCACGCTGCCGGTCTCGCGGGTCGAGGGGCCGTGCTCGTGTACACAGCTGGGCGCGTACGTCCTCCGTGGGCTCCCTACTCGGGAGGCCCCCGGAGCCCGCTCTCGGCGATCCGGGCGCGTCACGAGGCGGTCCGCCGCCCCCACTGCAGCCACGGAGCGGGCAGCTGGGCGCAGAGCCGATCTGCTGCAGTCGCCGCCGGCCGTCCACGAGGGCCGCCCCCCGTGCCGCCATCTTTCCCCGGCCCCCCCGCCTCCAGTAGCCCAGTCGGAGCAGGCAAGGCTTGCGCCAGGAGGAGGAGGAGGAGGAGGGGGAGGAGGAGGAGGAGGAGGAGGAGGAGGAGGAGGAGGAGGAGGAGGAGGGAGGAGGAGGAGGAGGAGAGGAGCAGGAGCAGGAGCAGGAGCAGAGCAGGAGCAGGAGCAGGGGCAGGAGCAGGAGCAGGAGCAGGAGCAGGAGCAGAAGCAGGAGGAGGAGGAGGAGCAGTAGGAGGAGGAGCAGTAGGAGGAGGAGGAGGAGGAGGAGGAGGAGGAGGAGGAGGAGGAGGAGGGGGAGGGGGAGGGGCAGGGGCAGGGGCAGGGGCAGGGGCAGGAGCAGGAGCAGGAGCAGGAGCAGGAGCAGGAGCAGGAGCAGGAGAGGGGAGGAGGGAGGAGGGAGGAGGGAGGAGGGAGGAGGGAGGAGGGTTCGGTTCGGTTCTCCTCCAAAGCAAGGTGCACGACCTCGACAGCCGGGGGGGGGCGCAACTAATGAGCGGCGCAGCCCAGGGCGACCGCTTTGCGGGCTCATTTTACCCCAGGGACACGAACCCCAGGATAAAGAAACAATTATTTGCTTCTAGCGATCCCCACCGAAGCCTTGGGCCCCTGTCCTCCTCCTCCTCCCCCATGCTTCCTTCCCCTCCTCCTTCCTCCCCCCTCCCATCCTATTAGACTGAGGGACGCAGGCGAGGAGGCCGCCCGCGGCGGGGCGGCGGCAGGGACTGAGGGATTCTCGGGACAACTGGGGGTCTGGCCTGGTTTTGGTTTGTTCTGTGATGTTATCTTGTGCTCTGGTTTGGTTTTGTTCCGTGATGTTATGTGGTTCTTTGTTATGTGACGTTTTGGTTTGGTTTGTTCTGTGATGTTATGGTGTGTTCGGTGCTTGTATGCTATGCATTGTTTTGTCATGTTCTGTCATGCGCTGTTATGTTTTGTCGTGTTATGTGTGCAATGTTGTGCTGCTCTTTCATGATGTGATCAGTGATAGTATGCGATGTTATGTCATGATATGGTTTGTAATGGTACTGCCACGTTATGTTCCGTCATGTTGTGTCATGGTTGTATTATGTTATGGTATCTTCTATTGTGGCACGTTGTGTTCTGTCGTGTTCGTCGCTATGCATTGTTGTCGTGTTATGATATGTTCTGAACGCTGTGCCATGATATGACATGTTCCGTCATATTGCGTTATAGTATGCTCAGTTATGGTATGTTGTGGTGTGCTCTGTCGTTTTCTGTTCTGTAATGTTCTGCCCGGATATGTTTTGTGATGTTATAGCATGATGTACGATGTCATGACATTGCTATGCTATTTTCTGTCATGTTCTGTTGTGGAATGGTGTGTTGTTTCGGGTTTGTCGAGGGCGCGACTCGGGGATTCTCGGGACAACTGGGGGGTTTTGCCTGGTTTTGGTTCGTTCTGTGATTGTCTCTAGTGCTCTGGTTTGGTTTGTTCTGTGATGTTTTATGGTTCTCTGTTATGTGACGTTCGGCTCTGGTTTGTTCTGTGATATTATGGTATGCTCAGTTCTTTCATGCTATGCATTGTGTTGTCATGTTCTGTCATGCTTTGTCATGTTATGTCGTGTTATGTCTACTATGTTGGTCTGTTATGGCGTGATATTATCTTGCATGTCCTGTGGTGTTATGTCATGATTTATTTTGTCATGGTGTTGCCATGTTATGTCCCGTCATGTTATGTCATGGCTGTACTATGTTGTGGTATATTCTATTGTGGCACGTTGTGTTCTATCGTGTTCGTCGCTATGCTCTGTTGTTGTGTTATGATATGTTCTGAACGCTGTGTCATGATATGATATGTCCCGTCAATGTGCGTTATGTTATGATCAGTTCTGTCATATTAGTGTGTTCTGTCGTTTTCTGTTATATAATGTTCTGCCTGTGTGTGTTATGTGATGTTATATTATGTTCCATGTTGTCATGATGCTGCTATGCTATGTTCTGTCATGTTTTGTTGTGACTGTTGTGCTGTTTCGTGCTTGTCGAGGGCGCGAGGCGGGACTCCCAGGGACACTCTGGGACTCTCGGGGACACTCGGGGACTCTCGGCACAACCTGGGGTCTGGCGGCCGCGGTATGCAGTCGTGTGTTGTCGAGGGCGAGGGGGCGGGATTTCTAGGGACTCTCGGGGACACTGGGGGATTCTCGGGACAACTTGGGGTCTGGCGGCCGCGGTATGCAGCGTGGGGTTGGCCGGGGGGGCTGTTCTTGAAATCTAACAACCCCAACCTGTCGGGTGGGGAAAACGGATACACAGTCGGCCCAGATTAGTGGGTCGACCTTGCCAAATCAAGGGTGCCCTTGTGTCCTGCGTCTCGCGACCCATGCTTCCTACACTCCTGTGGCAGCGTGGCCCTCGGGAGGGTCTCGTGTCCTCTCGCGTGTCCTGTCCCACCGAGTCCGACTGCAGAGGGGCGAGAACTCTCTTGGCCGAAAGACGTGTCGCCCCCCCCCCCCCCCACCCATCCACCCGTCTTGTACCCCGCCCACGTCCTCGAAGCCATCGAGGACGGCGCGCCGACTGCCCGCCAGCGGCAGCGCGTGGCCGCCCACGTCGGCGGCGGGGGGGGGGGCAGGACAAGAGAGGAGAGGAGACAGGGACGAGTGATAGATCCTAATCTCGATCGGGGGTGGGCAGAACCCCCAACAGTGACACGTCGATTAGTGAATGGTCCGTTTTCGGTTCTCGAGAGGGCGCCGTGACCGTTATTTTCCAGGCTTGCGCCCGCCAGGTTTGGGCCTCAGGTCGTTTTCACTAAACCACGTTTTACTAAAGGGGGGTCTGTCCATCTCCGACTCGAAGCTCCTCAAAAAGCACAGCAGCACATAATACGATTGCAGAACACAAGCGCACCCCTCAAGACAACATCGAAACCCACCCACCAATCACTCACGAAAAAGACCCATCCACCCCACTACGAGTTGCTCACGGAAGCGACGAACCATCAGTGCAGATCACTCTGCAGCAATGAGGGAGCCTCATGTGACTGAGTCTCGTTGGCCCGTGAAAACATACCGTCTAGACACAGGTATACTGCGAGCAGCTCTCTCTCTCTCTGGCACGTCTTCTGGCCAATGCCTGTGCCCTGTTGGCCGAAATTCGGGCAAGTATCTCAGCGGGGAGAGGGGGGGGCTCAGGAGGCGGGGGAGGTGGTTCCGAAGAGGTATCGGA